CCCTATCTATTTCTTTTTGTGGCGGAAGGATTATCTGTTATACTTTCAAAAGTAGAGAGGGATAAAAATATTGAAGGAATACGAGTCAAAGGGGTGGCACCACCTATATCAAGCCCTAATGTGGATGAGGTCGTGAGACATGAATTGGCAAGTGTTATGGGGATGCAAGTTGTAAGGTATCATGCGAAATATCTGGGTTTACCTACGGTTGTGGGAAGGCAGAAGAAGGCTATTTTTTGCCATCTAGTGGACAGAGTAAGAAAGAAAGTGAAGTTATGGAAAAGCAAACTTCTATCAAATGGAGGGAAGGAGGTGTTGATTAAAACTCAACGGTCCAGCTCGGTTCGGTTTTTGGGACCGGTTCGGTCCGGTTCTGCTCGGGTAGGACCGCACCATTGCACACCCCTAACATATGCTATGCAGGTTTTCCTGGTCCCACAGAATGTCCTAAACGAAGTACAAAGTTTGCTATATCCAACTTTTGGTGGGGGCAACAATAACAAGAACGTAGAGCACACTGGTTAAGCTTGAAGGAGCTTTGCAGGACTAAGGAAAAAGGAGGATTGGGATTCAGAAATCTGCATGATTTTAACCTAGCCCTTCTCGGCAAACAACTTTGGAAGATAATCCAGAACCCCATATCCCTGGTGGCTAGAATTTTCAAGGCCGAATATCATCCTGACAGAGATCTATTAGAAGTTGAATTGGGAAACAATCCTAGCTACATCTGGCGTAGCATTCTCGTTGCTAAAGGAATACTAAAAGAAGGGCTCAGATGGAGAATTGGAAATGGGGAAAAGGTAGACATCTGGATTGATAAATGGGTCCCTACTTTCCCTTCTCTAAAGATCATTTCCCTAGTAACGCAATTTTCCCCAAACACATCAGTCAGTGAACTAATAGATGCCGAGACAAGAAGTTGGAGATTAAATCTTATCCAATCTCATTTCTATCCAGAGGACAGACCACGTATACTGAGCACGCCCATCCCTCGAGTCCCGACGGAAGATTGCAGAATCTGGATCCATGAGAAATCGGGAATCTATTCGGTGCGATCAGCCTACCATTTCTGACGGAACAAACAAGAAGAGGAACTGGGAGAAATCTATACCCCTACTAACTGGAAACGGGTCTGGAATCTCTCCATTCCCCCGAAGGTGAAGGTTTTTGGTTGGAAATGGATTCGCAATATTATCCCCACATGGGCGAATATCGTCGACAGAACGGGAAAGGGATGTGATGAATGCCCATTTTGTAGACAAAGGGAGACACGGATTCACTTGTTTCAGGATTGTGGTTGGGTTCGACGGGTTTGGCGCCCTAGTTCACTAACCCACCTATTTGAGAAAGGAACAGATCTCACCTGTGAAGAATGGCTAGTATCGCTGCAAGAATCGGAGACTGATGAAGCAATCGGCCCATTTCTGGTGGCCCTGTGGTTTATCTGGAATGAGAGAAACAACCAGATGTGGAATAAGAAAAAAATGGATGAGTATGAGGTCATGAACAGAGCGGAGAGATGGTTAGCTGAATACCTGGAATATCAATCCTCTTCGATGGCGAATCCGGCGCGAACTCCTCTGAGCTAGGCACCCCCGATCTGCGCTAACTACAAGATAAATGTTGATGTAGCTTGTCTCCAAGGAGAAGGTACGAGTTTCGGTGTGGTGGTGAGTGATAAGAGTTGCAATTTCTACTTTGCAGCAGTTCGAAGAATGAGGGTTCAATGGCAACCCGAAATGGCGGAGATAAAGGCGATCTGGTTTGGTCTAGAAATGGCGGAGCAATGGGGATTGATGGAGGGTGAGGTGGAGACTGATTGCTTGAGGGTGGTTCCGCAAGTGTCGAAGGAAGAGGTGGGCCTAACAGAAGAAGGAATTGCATGTGGAGAATTGGCAGAAAAATTGAAGGAATTGGGCTCGTGTACCATTGGGTTTTCGGGCCGGACCAGCAATCATGTTGCCCATATTTTGGCCCATACTCTATGTAATTGGGAAGAAACTGAAACCTGGCAGTCTAGGCCTCCTATATTTATAGTTTCTCAGTTACAATCTAACTCTGGTACTATTTCACGTTAATGGAATAATACAGGTCATTATTTCAAAAAAAAAAAAACAACTAAGGAGTTAATCGTTGAGTGACTGTATGTTTATGTAAGTACATATTGTTGTTTGTGTATTGGGCCACAAGTTAAGGGCCCATTTGGGTATGGAGTGTGAGGGTCGCCCGTATAGGGTTTGTACTTTGTAGCGTAGTCGTGTGTCTCGTGTGGCATATTGATAACGGTGTATTTGCGCATATTTGCACCCTTTGTTCTTATCCGTTTGCGGCTCGTAGTCGTGCATTTTTGGCCTGTTTTATGCTGGGTTGTGCTACTTTGTCACATTTCAGGTCCTAGACGTTGAAGGGAAGGCTAGACACGAGTTTCGGGGCTTTTAGAGATCACTCGGTCGAGCTAGAGTCAGAACACGGGCAGGAGGTCTGAAGAACACGGCCGTGTACACAGATGAGCACGCTAGTGTTTTTATGTGCGAGAGCTAAACTGAGGAAGAAGCAAAACACAGGCTGGACTAAGGAAAAACACGATGGTGCTTCAGACCGTGTTATTTATGCCGAGAGGTTGCTTTTGGAGGCTGTTGCGAAGTCCAAAACACGGGCAGAAGTGAAGTAAAGCACGACCGTGTCAATAAGTGGGCACGACCGTGTTTTAGGGCGACGCGGGCGTGTTTTTAACACGTGGCGAGAACACGGATGGGCAAAAGAAAAGCATGGTCGTGTCCTCGGCTGTGCTTTGCCCATAATCAGGCTTTTGAGGCAGATTCAAGCCAAAGGAGAGGGGATCGAGTTTTTGAGCAAAAAAACAGATTTTAGAGAGAGAAAGTGTGAAGAACAAACCCTAGGAGCTATTTGGAGTGGATTTCTCACCATTGAAGCCTAGATTGCATCCCTAGGAGTGAAGATCGACATCCCAGAGCAGATTTTCCTCATCTTTATGAGTATGACTACTCTGATTTCTGTTTTCCTCTCTCTCTCTCTCTCTATGGAGTAGAACCCTCTCTCACTTGGGTATGAAGAACCCTAGTTCCATGTGTTAGGAATCTTGATTATAATGACTTGGGATTGATATACTGATTGATTTTAATCGATTGATGCATGATTCATTGAGTCAATTGAAGTCTGATAATCTTTTCTTGATTTCTGCTGCAACCTAAGATAGATACAATCTGATTAGGTTGTTAGAGCTTCATCAATCGCTAGTGGTAGATTGGTTATATGAGAGTTAATCGATTTACTGCTTTGTACTGGAACCCAATTCCAGTAGTGGAGTTCTGTGCTTATTGCCTCAGCAGTCTATCCCGGAAGGTTAGTCGCCTGCCGGTTAGCCTGCCTGAGAGGGCTTAGTCAGCTTAAGAGATTCCAAACTACTGTCGGATCTTCCGCAGTTTAATCAACAGTTAATCAACCCAGGGTAATTACAACCTCGACCTAACTAAGGAGCTAGGGGGATTCATTCCCGAGTGACTCTTCCCTTGCTAAAGAACTTTGAATCATTTCCTGCTTTCTTATAGCTTCCAGTTAAAATCACAATCACTCGACTTAGTTTTCTAGATAATAGATAATCACGGAGTAGGCAGTAGATCTAGACCTCGGGTTTACAAATAGAGCTTGCCACTTACTGCATTTCCGGACTGCGATTACACTTGGTCGCAGTTTGGTGTTGTATTTTAGCATGTCACATATCTACGGAGGTGCTTCGGCTGTACTGGTTAAGCAAAACACATATTCTTAACCAGATTATCAGCTTGGAGATCAAGCATCACGTCTCTTCCGTGAATTAGTCCTGAGATAATTAGAAATACCATGTAGATCTGTTGTCTTCGTTCTGGCTAACATTAACAAGAATGTATACTAAATTACCAGAATCAGATCAAGAACTTCTACATGTAAATTTACCACCAACATTCCAAGAATTCAAAGAATGTTGTTTCTGAATGAATTAAGGAGAAGGTGAAGTAAAAACACGAACAAGGGTTAGGTCTAGTGGTAATACCACTTCCTTTGAACCTTGAGGTCCCAGTTTCGAATCTGTTAAGTAGTACATAACACAAAAAAAAACCTATATTAATATATATCACCCTTATCTAAAAAAATATAAAAGAAAAACGTAGTTATGTTGCATGAGGGAAAGATGAGATCATCAAGGCAGTTAAAAAAGGTTTGGTGGAATGAGGTTAATAGATGTCAAAGGGTTTTAATAAACGCTTTACTCATGCACGAAACGTAGAATTCAAAATTTAGAATTGCAAATGAATTCTTTTAAATACCACACATAAAAAGATTTCATTTCAAAATGAATTCCCCAAAACTTATGGAATTCATTTATATCAAATGGTATGTAAAAGAATCTATTTTCAATTCTAAATTTTGAATTCCATGGAATTAGAACTAGTTATAGCAATTTCGAGGAAATGAGATGAAATTTTCAAATGAATTCCACAAGTATTTACTAATTAGGGCTAATACCACTAGAAACCCCGAACTATTAACTTTGTGTCATTTGTGTCATAAAGTATCCGATATAACATTTGTGTCCTAAACTATTTTTCAGTTAGAGTTGATTGGCGCTGACCGTTAGTTTTTAACAGAAAGTCTAGTCACCGCTGATGTGGCATTTGACGTGGAATTTTATTATTTATTTTTATGTATTTTTCATAAAAAATGAATAAAGTTACATAAATTAAAAGAAGAAAAAAAATCTCTTGGTCTCCTCTCTCCTCACTCAACACCGCCATGGAACTTGGCGTCTCTGCCGCCTCGTAATCCCTAACTCTACTGTCTTGCACGCAATTGTTGTCCGCGCTCTCATCGCCGAACTCAATCCGGAGAGATTTCCTCGGTTGCGGCCACAACCTCCGCCCTCCCGGCGGGCTGCTTCCCTCCTGGGCGGCCAAATGTCGAAAGGTCAGGGTTCGTAAAAGCCGTCCTCCTCGCGATTTGTGATGGCGACGAACTTGGTGATGCTCGTTGTCGCCGTCACCACCATCTCTGTTGTTTTCATTTTCTACTTGAAGGCAGATCTACCTTCCGAACTCGGTGATGACTTCCAGATTCGTCTCCTTCCGACGTCGACATCTTGTCGCTTACCCATAGGTTGGATCGATTCGTCGTCGTCAACAAGAGCAGATAAAGAGGGAAATCTCCTGGGACAAGATTCGATTCGTCGTTGCCAACGAGATTCGATTCGGGACTGGGGATTGGATTGTGTGTTTTGGTATATGAGGGGGAATTTCCTGGAATGAGAGCAGATAAAGAGGGCAAGTATATCTAGAGACATGGGTTTAAGGACGAACCAAGCGGTGGCTCGTCAACGAACTAGACGACTATCGGCGAGCACGTACCGGAGATGTTGAAGGGTCGATTCGGCGGAGGACGACGGAAGTGTTGGGGAAGAAGTTCAGCGGGGAAGAAGGGTTTTGTTAAGAATTTTTTTTTCTTATTTTTATTTTTGCTCCTCTAAATAATCATATGTGTCAGCTGACGTGGCCGCCACTATGTGCCACGTAATCAACGGTCAACATTTCACTGATGACCGTTAGGTCAGGCGTTATCTTTAACGGTTAACGAAACCGACAGGACATAAATGACACACAACTATCATATGTCAAGACACAAATGTCATATCGGATACTTTAGGACACAAATGACATAAAGTTAATAGTTCGGGTTTCCTAGTGGTATTAGCCCTACTAATTATAATAGAATGATATAATTATCCTCTTTTATTAACTAAATTACTTATACATATGACATACCAAACACATGAATTCATTTGACAATGAATTCTGTATGGCAATTCATTTTATTCCTAAGAATTTGAATATGACATACCACACACAAGATTTCATTTGACAATGAATTCTACACTGTAATTCATTTTACAATGAAATGAATTCTCGATTCATTTGGTACCAAACGGTCTGTTACACTAGGTAGAGGTTGATGATGGAGAGTGAGACTTAGAGGCCGCTGAATTATGAATCTTATATGCTTCTCCTATTTTCAATTCCTTGTTTTCGAGTTAAAACGATTGGTCTATTAACCATTTATTTGCTTGCTCAACCGGGTCAACGGGTTAATTCGGATTGAGAATGTTGGTTACATTTAAATCTGCCAATTCATTATATATCGGAAGGGTATTGGGAGAAATGAGAATAGGGAATGCGTTAGGGTGGCTACTAAAATTCTAGTAGCCACCATGGTACATCATTATCTTCTATCCATTTTTATTTTTTTCATTTTTTTAATTTTATGGTTAAGATTGCTTCAGGGTATTTTTGAAAACAAAAAAGAATCAACACCTGATTATTCTATATGTTCTATTGAAACCCTACTTCTACACTCCCCTCCCTCCAACCAAACCCTCTTTCATCAACGACGGTTGTCGGCTGCCCTCCCTCTATTCCTCTCCCCTCCGCCCACCTCCCTTCACCGACCATCCCTCCCCCTCCCTCTCATCCCATATGTTCTTCCTCCACAGTAGACCCTCCACACAACTGTATACCCTAAAACCCAATACCCATCCTTCCTTCCTTACCTCCCTCTCTCTCTCCCCCCTTCTGTTCTTCTTCAGTAAGGCAAAAATAACGGTTGGGATAAGAAAAAAAACTTGGGAGTTCGACTAAAAGAAGAAGACGACTGGTTTTTTAGTGGTATGTACTTTTTCGTATTGGTAGTGTTTTTTTCCGTAATGGTAGTGTTTTTTCGCATTGGTATTGTTTTTCGCATTAGTAGTGTTTTTTCCTCTCTCTTAATGGTAGTATTTTTTTCGCATTGGTATTTCTGTTTTGTGAAATGGTAGTGATTTTTTCGTAGTGGTAGTGTTTTTCGCATTGGTATTGATTTGAATGTATTGCTATATGGTCAAATCTGCAATGTTATTGGTGTTTTGTAAAACGATAGTGTTTTTGTTTCTCGAATGGTATTGGTTTATTGTGCAATGGTAGTATTTTTTTAATATTTTATTGTAGTGGTATTATATTTTTGGTATTGATGTTATTGTCTTAGTAGTGATCTTCATGTATTGTTATTAGTTAAATCTGCAATGGTATTGGTTAATCAGCGTTATTATGTTGTGTTAGTGGTAGTTTTTTATATGTTTTGGTATTGATTTCTGGTTTTTATCTAATAATGATATTGGTGTTTTTCGAAATGGTAGTGGTTGCCTAATAGATTGGTAGGGGACTGGTTAGAGTGCTAACTTCATTGGAGTTAGCACCGTACTAACCACTATAATCACTGTTTATTATTTTTAATTAAAATATGATGCTGGAGAATAAGGAGGGGCATATTCGGTATATAAAAAATTAATTTAATTAATAAATTAAATTTTAAAATATTTTATTTTCTTTTTAGTAGTAGGCCTGAAAAATAGTACCGTAAACTACTGCTACATTCATTGGTAGTGATTTTGGTGGTTGTATTAGCAATTTTATTTGTTCTTGTAGTTATTTAATTGTAATTAGTAGTGATTTAGGGGTCGTTTGGAGAACAAGATTTGGATCATGGATTTGTTGAATCCATAGATTTAGCAAAATGTTATGTTTTTTTTGCTACTTTTTGTATCGTGGATTGTAGTTTCAGAGATTTTAAATCTCTAAAATCTAGAGATATCAAATCTCTCATAATTATCACACTAAATACCCTTACCAATAAATTCTCAATAGTTTTCGAGCTAATCTAATTGTTTTGATTAATGATAAACATAATAAAAAAATGGAATTTCTTTTTTCATTGGATGTTAACAATCGTAGTTACCAAACAATGAACATTTTCAAATCTTTTTTGAACAATCCAGCGAGTTAAAATCTTTGGATTGTCTAAAATCTATAGATTTAGACTCCAATTCTCCAAACGAAGAAATTTTAAGTTACTCATGATGGGTGAACTTAGAAAGTAATGATAACATAATCACTACTAATACGATTAGGTAGGAGTAAACCACTACTGGAATAACTACACATCAAAGAAAAAACACTAATATCGTACAAATATGACTGCTCAACTGCTAATACGTATGAAAATCACTACTCCACAATCACTACAAACCCAAAATCACTACTAATCAAATAATAATATAGATCTAACAAAAAGTTCTCATTTTTTCTGGCTTGCTATCCGTGAGCGAGTGACGACAGTAGTGGTGGGACGACGACAAGCGAATATATATATTCCTTCTTCGACGTCAGAAGCCCAGCCTCGCCTTCCTCCGTCGTGGATCTAGCTTCCACCGCCATGGCCGGATATGCCTTCTCCATTGTGGAACTCCGAAAACCGGACAGATCTTCCTTCTCCAATGTCAGAAGCCTGACCGCTTCTCCCTCCGTCACAAGACCCCTTTCATCATGGTCCTAGATTCCACTGCGCTGACCTGAAATCGTCATCCTCCATTGTGGAACGGCGGCATCCGGATCTTCCTTCTTTCATTGAGAGAGAGAGAGAGATAGAGAGAGAGAGAGAGATGCAGAACGACGGTTTCAATATAGAGGAAGGGGTGGCGACTGTTGTGGTATGGGATAGAAATAGAATACACATTAGGGTTAGCTAATGGTCATAGTCTTTTACCAATTTAACCTTTAATTAACTAAATGTGAGCATAGTTAGCATGGTGCTAACCTCTTAAGAGGTTAGCACCTAATCTCAATCCGATTGGTAGGGATTTTTTTTGTGTGCAGAAAGATGGAGAAAAATAAGGAAAGGAGATCTGGCTAGAGATTATGGAAGTGAGAGAAAGAGAAAGAATTGTAATTTATATATTTTGTTACTGCCTAAAATGTAATTTATTAAAAAATTAATTAATATAATTTATTTTTCCATACCCAATGTGCCCTTAATAACCATGGTGATTACTACTTTATAGTAATCACTATAACCCCTCCCCAGAGGTCCCCGTTATGTCGTGCTAGTCTTAGTTATGCTTTTATCATTGTCCTCCCGCTGTGTTACTACAATCAAACTACTAGGTGTTTTATGTTAGAGTTAGTCAATAGAGTTGTAATACGACATTGATGGGAGAAGTAAATTATAAAGATGGAGTCTTTTGGCAATTTAATTAATTAATTAATTTTATATTAATTAATTAACGTTTGAATATTGTGAAAAGAAGTGTCCTTCCAGAAAGGTAACTCCCCTTTTCTGTGAAAGGATGTGTCCTTTCGGGAAAGGTAACTACCTTTTTTTGTGAAAGGATGTGTCTCTTCGGAAGGTAACTTCCAATTTTCACTACTATAAATAGATGACTGTCATAACTCTTTTTAGACAAAACATGCGAGAGAATTTCTTCTTTTTCCCGTTTTCCTTCTCTATTTCATAACCATAGAAGTCTGCAAGATTGCTGCTTCCAGACTTAAAAATTGAAGGGACTCCTAGGGGTGGTTTGCTCAAGCCTACCAGCAATTGGTAGTGGGGGCAAATAACACTCTAAAGAGAGTGATTAATCACGCCTTCAATCGATTCTTTCCTACCAGTTCCTGAAAATCTTAGAGTGTTATTTGTTGTTGTTGAAAAATGGATTCCGTAGTAAAGAATACATTGAAGGCATGGCAATTGGCAAGAAAAGGAAAAAAAAGTATCCCGACGTTCATTAGAATTGATTTGGTTATCGAAGAAGAAAACAAGCAAGCATTTGACATTCATTTCTTGGAAGAGGAACTGAACAAATGTCTGTCATTTAAAGCTACGTGTCTCTGCAAAGGAATTATTTCTTGGTTATATAGATATATCATTGGAGTTGCAGAATGGTTATGTTATTTATGCAATCATCGAAAGGAATATATATATGGGCATCACTAATTGGCAGAAATTGATTGACGTTGTTGTTTGTACACGAATATATACTGGAGTCTGGAGTACTGCTTTTATATGTGACTAAAGGTTTGGCACAGATTAATGGCCGTAGGTCAGGGATCAATTAATGATTAATTAATCAGTTTTTCCATGATTGGATATATATATATGCATGCAGAAAGGTATATGTATACATTAGGGTGGTGTATATATAATTATATATACATGTCTTAATAGCGGCCATATATGTGTCGGTTCTGTACAAATTGGAAAATGCATATGGGATTGGATTTATCAGTTAAGTGGCCGTGTAATTTGTTGTTTGCAACCTGTAGTTTCTGAAAGTGATGTAGTAACTCTACACGTTAGCTTTCTTGCTTCGAGCAATACAGAGGAATAATTAACCAATTGAGTTTGGTTAGTGAGATCAAGTACTTTTGTAGTACTTGAGATGTGA